TTTTTTTTTTTTTTTTTTTTTTTTTTTTTGCTATGTAACCCTAGATAGATTCTTTTTGCCCAACTACGTTTCATAAATTAGTAGGTTCTAATTCGGAGCATGGTTTATGGCAATACATTAAAGTGTTAAGCTTACATAAATTTTTATATATTATTTTTTAAAATATTAATTATATTTGTTTTTTTAAATATTGATTATGTTTAATTTTTTATTAAAGATAACTAGTAATTTAATTGTTAATTGAAAAATAACAAAATTATTGATATTTATTATTTAACAAATTAAAATTGATATTTTCAAATATCATAACTAATTATTTATGATAAACCTATCCGAATGGTAAGATCAAGTGTTATTGGGTAAGATCAAGTGTTATTTCATAAATTAAGTTTAAAATTTAAGTTTTAAAGTTAATACTTAAGAAAATTAATTTTTTGAATATGTCAGGTCGACATGAGGGTATGCTCTTAAGATTAAGCAAAGTGAAAATAGTCTCAAAGTGTGTAAAAATTGATTGGAAAATATTCTAACTATAACTACCAAAAAAATATTTATTTATAAAAAAATATTAATATTTGTATAACCTTAAACACTTCATTGTGCGATCATGACTGAGCTTGGCGTCAATTTGGTTTGATCATCAAACTAAAAATTTTTGGTTACTATCTTAAAACCAAACCCAAACCTAATTATAATTCATTTTGGTTCAATTTGGTTTGGTTTGGTTTGGTTCGGTTCACAAAGGAAGATTGTTAGCGAAAGAGAACAAGAGATTGGAGAAGGGGAAGAGGATTGGCGGCTAGGTTTTGCTCCCCCTCTAGATAACTCCTTTTTTTATTTTTGTTGTGGGACCTCTACATGAATTCTTTTTTTCTCTAATTAAATTATAATTTATTAATCAAATAAAAAATATAACTTATTAATCAATAATGGTGTGTTTAGTTTGATTGATTTAATTAATTCATAGGTTTTTTTATTAAATAATTACTTATAATATTTAAAAATAAAAGTGCATAAATTTATTTCAAACAGTTATAATTATTGTTCTATCAATTATTACTTGTTTTTAATAATTAAATCAAGTAAAGCCATATTAAATAGTGTTTTAGAGCGTGCTTGGTTTGGCTCATCTTATCAAGTTATAGCTTTTTTTTCACTTAAACAAATAATTGGGATATTTGGAAAAAGTAACCTATGCACTCTAGACTAATTTTAATCCACTATCAATAATCTCATAGCTACAACTATTAGTTCAGTTGTTCCTAATAGTCAATCCAAACATAGCCTTAATGTGCCACAACTTAAAGTGCCATGTCAGTTTTGCTAAAGGACGAAAAGATAATGCAAATTGAACGTTTAAGCCCTGTTAAACTATTTTAAAACTTTAGGAGCTAAATTAATGTAAAATTGAAAGTTTATGGACCATTGGAAGGTATTTTAACCTAAAAATATCTTCGCAGGAGATTTTATCGCTGACGGAGTCTCCGCATTTCCACCGATTCTTTCTGTTTCCACTCTTTAGGTTCCCTTCGAAACTAAGCTAAGCTGCCCTAATAAAGCCTTCTCTCCCGTCGTCTCTGCGTCTCTGGTACGCCGATTCATTCCTTTTCCGTTCTCGTCGATTGCTTGCTCTCAGTATGTATGTATGATTAATTCTCCATCAATTTTGGTTTCTCTGCGTCTGTAATCATCAGTTTGTTCGATTCATCGCTTGTTAGGTATAGATCTGAATAGTTTAATTGCTTTGCGTTCATAGGTAACAAGGGTTTTTTCCCGTTATTTGAAGCATAATTCTGTTGACAGGATGTTAGAGAATGAAGGATGTTGTATTTTCAATGTTTATGATCTGTGTTTTGTGTTGAATTCGTTCTTTGTCTCTAAGTAGATTTTGAATATTTTGTAATTAGGGGATTGCTTATATGCTATATAGATGTGTTGCTTGAGTAACTCTTTCGTCATAGTTGCATCTGAATACTGCTTTTTTTGAAGTTATTATTGGGGAGTACTTTGATGGAGATGGCTTTTTGGTGATCTGATTGCACAACAATAGGTTTAATCTAGTCATTAGAGTTCTTTTAGCAACAAGGATGCTTCTCGGATTCTGATTATCTGAGCATACAATAGCATGTTTATGCTCAGATCCTGCAACATATTCTGGATGCAGTGTTGGATTCTTTTTGAGTTTTATGTTTTATGTTCTGAAACCGTGCAGCTTGAAGTATGTCAGAAGAGGTTGAGTATCGGTGTTTTGTTGGTGGCCTTTCATGGTCCACATCTGACAGGGGTCTGAAGGATGCATTCGAAAAGTTTGGGCATCTTCTTGAGGCAAAGGTATTTATGAATTATATATTAGTGTTCCCCTCCCACACTTCTTTTCCTTTTGAGTTGTGTCTACAAATTCCTGACCCACTTTTATGCAGTGTGTTACAATGTATTCTGTTTAAAAGGATATTGTCCCATGTCCAGACTCCAGTGGTATTATCTACCAAAATATCAAAATTTTGAAGAAGTTCTGTGTTTTTTTATTTATTTATAGTGTTTTTTGTGGTAGGCAGAACTACTGTTAGGTTATAACCTTTTCTTCAGCTGTCTTTGTTATCTCAGTCTAGCAATGTAGTTTCTTGATTACCTGATGAGTCTTCTTTTCATACTAAAACTGAATTAGCTAAAATGTAATTAAAGCAGCCAAAGGATTAGCTAAAAATCATCTTACTTACTGGCTATTAAAGACATGGCATGATAAAGGAAGCTTGGGATAAACCTAAAAACCATTGTCGAAAATTCATTGCTACTATATTAATTGTATGTTTCTCCTTATTCAGGTAGTAGTGGACAAGTTTTCTGGTCGCTCTCGTGGATTTGGATTTGTCACTTTTGACGAGAAGGCAGCAATGGAAGAGGCCATTGCTGCAATGAATGGAATGGATTTGGATGGGCGAACTATAACTGTTGATAAAGCGCAGCCTCACCAAGGATCAGGGAGAGATTATGATGGTGACCGTGGGCGTGACCGGGAACGTGGACGTGATCGTGACTTTGGTGGTGGACGTGGATCTAATGGTGGCGAGTGTTTTAAGTGTGGAAAGCCTGGACATTTTGCTAGGGAGTGTCCTAGTGGTGGTGGTGGTGGTAGTGCTAGGGGGGGCAGGTATGGTGGTAGGGATGATCGTTATGGTGGTGGTGGTGGTGGTGGCGGTGGTGGTCGTTATGGTCCTGACCGGAATGGTGATCGATATGGTGGGCGCAGTAGGGATGATGGTAGTCGTGGAGGACCTGGGGGTGATAGATACAATCGCGATAGATCTGGTCCATATGAGCGCCGTGGATCAGGAGGCTTTCGTTCTGGATAAGGTAATTGTTGTTGTAGCACTAACTGAAGCATGACTCTTATTTATATGTGGTTACTGTTGTGAATTTATTCTTCACAGGATAAGCAGCCACAGTTGTAATCTTCAGTTATCTTTATATTGCAGATGATGAACTGGGGTGGTGAAGCAGCTGCTTGTCCTGTCTTTGAAGCATGAAGTTTCCTTGTACAGGATGCGTCCCCTTCGTTGTTGTCTGGGTGGAACAATCTATTAGTTCTGTGAAACTTGGCACAAATTTTCAACTATTTCTGTGTTCCTAAACTGCTCTATTCAATGTTTTGGTCGGATGGAGTCTTGTGCTTTCTTGACATGCGCTTTCAAATTTGGTCTTGTACTCTGTGAATGCTCATTTATTGCGACTCATGCATGATCCGCATCAAATGCCATATTTCTGTTCAGCTTCCCGTTGACTTTTATGTTTGCACACAATTGCAAATGGGAAGGCAGTTTGTCTTTGCATGGGTATTTGGAGAAGTGATGGGGAGGGTTCCGTTCCACCATTGGGATTTTGATTCTTCTCACTTGGGAATAGAAACCATCTTTAGAAGTAAATGCCCATTTTGGTTGCCCTGTTTACAGTGTGCTACTAAATAAACAGGAATCAAGCGGGTAATTTATTTCTTACGTTCCTGCTCTGTGCTAGTTTTTTATTTAATGGTTATATGTTGTATTAATTTCGTGACCTTTTGACAGGAACTTCAGCTTATTTGTGGCCTTAATGGGTACATGATTGCGTTTCTTTGTTGCTTTGGACATGGTTTTATAATCTTTAAAATTCTCAGTCTTTTGGGACGCTACAAAAGGTCTTCGTGTTAACTGATTATAAATCCACTATCAACGTTCTTGGGCGCTGATGGGGATGGAAGAGTTCTGTTTTTGTGTAAACTCGTGGCAGGTTGTTGGGAAGCTCTTTGATGAACTAGTTAGCAACTGCTGTTATTCTTTCTCATGAGTTGGTATCATGTAGCCCTATCCGGTCTGAAGATTGTGATTCTAGTCTTTAATTGTACTTGCTTCTGGTGTCATATTTCTTTCATTTTCTAAGGAAACTAGATTAGTGGGTATAAATGTACTGTGTCAAAAACTTCGTTAGCTAGTCCTTTGGGGTTCCTGGTATGAATTTATTCTCTTTTCGAGTTTATGGACCATTGGTTTTGCTAGAGGCTTCTTTTCAAGATTCTGCTTTTCCTGGCCCTTTTCGGAAGCATTGCCAAGGGAAATTCTATTGGGATAACCTTAGGCTGTGAATTACTGTTATTTGAGCAAGATTTGTAAATCTTGACCTTTGGTTCTGATGTAGCGTGCTTGTGCTAAAGGGCTGACTTCATTGGTGGAGGTTATTGTTTTTGCATGTTTTGGCCTTGCATATTCGTTTGTGTACTCAATTCTCTCGTTTACTCCATGTTGCCTTGTGTAAAAATGTGTAGCCATGCTTGTTTTGTGCTAGTTCCGTAGGAGAGTACTATTCAACATTCTGTATCTTGCTCAAGGATAATTTGAAAGGTAAGGAAAATGGAAATATTGCTGAAAATTGTATGATTAATTTACTTCAATAAAAGAAATAAGAGCTGTACGAGTCACGAGTTGCCTAATAACTTGATCATACGATGGTTCAACAAGCATTTTCTTAGGCGTTTGGAATGCGTGGTAACTATTGTGTGTAAGAATAGGCAAACAAGGACACATTGTTTCAATTTTACAAGCGGCCCATTGCTTGCAAGAACTCATTATTAATTTATTATTATTTTTTTTTTGGGTTATCCAAAAGAAAACTTAGGTGATCTGAAAGGTGGTTAAATTACGTAACATTAATTATTAATAAAGGATAGCCCTTGAATGGCAGTCCATTTCTCAATCTATGGTCTTCTTAGAAAAATCAACTCTTTAGGGATAGTGAAGACATTTACTAAGGCATTGTAAGGAGTGCAGGTTTTATGAAAAATACTGCTATCCTGTAACATTTTAGGCATCAATCTAGATGTGTGCAGTCGAGGTGTCATGATTTTCAAGATGACGCGCTTTTTCTTTTCTCCTATTGGATTAGACGACATGTCACAAGTATTTTTGCAATACAATAGAGTTTCTTCTGCATTTCTAATAAGTAGAAGATCCACTGCAAGTGTTAATAATTTCAAAATATATACCAAATGAAGTTACATGATGGGCATAAATTGCCGTTTCAAAAAAATAAAAAAAATAAAAAAAATAACATGATAGGCATAAATATTGGAAAGGGCAAAGTCTTTGCTTGGCACTCTTTATAACATACACAGTGGTCAATAGTAATAGAACAGATATTTTCCAGTTCAGAGAAAAGGTCTCTTTACAAGACGACATATAGCAACCAGAATTCCTTGTTTGTTCCAAACAGAGTTGGCAGCTGAGCAGTCTCTATCTGGATTTGATGTCCAGTTGCCACACCGGCACAAGTCTCTGCAAAAAAATCACCAAGCATTGCCATGATAGCTTCCTTCACTGTTTCAAAACTCTTTGATAATGATGAAATGCTTGCAAGAGGCTCTGTTTGAGAAGAAATACAAAACTCATTGTCTATCAGTTCTTGGGATTGGTTTTTGGTGCTGCCGAAATATATTTTATGAGGAATTGATGCCATGGAGGAAAAGCAGTATCGGAAAGGCTAATTAGAATGGAGAGAAGAAACAGAAGATGAAAGTTTGTGGGAAGATACACGCAGTGTTGGAACCTACTTATAGGCTGTAAGATATGATCCATAGTGATAAGTACCAATTCATAACCATGGTTTAGAAAAAGTAGAGATCTTTTTGGTAGGTTAAAATTAAAGGTGGTGATGCTTTATGTTAATTTATCATCAACAAGTTGCAAAGTGAGAGAAGTTATATTGAAAAAGAAAAATATGTCGACATTTTACCTAAGGTCAAGAAGGGGAGGTGAGATCGTAAATCATAAGATCACAAATAAGATCGTAAAATCCTAACAAATTTTTTTGTATTTATATAACTAATAAAAATAAATATAAATTATGCAAATATCTTAAATTGTTAAGGTTGTTTAATGATAAAATAAATTTAAAATAAAATATTTAAAAGTTCAAATACAAAGTACTTAATAATTCATAATATAATTTAATGCTTAAATCTATAAATCAAATAAAAAAGATAATAAAACTATAAATAATTGTTAATAATAATTGTTATTATTAATATGAAAGATAAAAGTAAATTTAAAGAAATAAAAAAAATTAAAAGAAATAAAAAAGGTTAAAAAATTAATTATATAAAATTATTAATAAAATTGTCATATAAATAGTAATTTTATAATTTTATATTAAATAATTATAATTTCAATAATATTCACTTACAATTA